CCTGTTGAACACAGGCTCTGGGAGCCACTTCAATGTAACGTATGGAAACAGGTGGAAGAAGCGAGAAAGAGCATGAACTTCATGAATCGAGTCCTTGAGGAGCTGACAGCAGAATTTTTCGAGCAAGTACCAAGAACTCATGATAAAATATCTGATAATAACAGAGAAGTTAAAGGACAATCTAAGGGGAAGGATGGAGATGACTTTTCTGTGTCCCTGAATGTGCAGCACTTCTCCCCAGAAGAACTGAGGGTGAAAGTATTTGGAAGAAAAGTTCTGGTGTCTGGAAAACACGAGAAGAAATGTGATGATGGCAGCGGCTCTTACAGCTACAAATATGAAGAGTTCAGGAGAGAATTCCAGCTGCCAGAGGATGTCAATGCTGAAGCTCTTCGATGCTGTTTGTCACAGGATGGTCAGTTAAAGGTTCAAGCCCCAAGCCTGGCATTGCCAGCTGTGAATGAACGGATCGTCCCCATCAACATCACCTCAGACACAACAACCACTCCCTGGCTTATTCCTGACCAAGAGGCAAAGAAACAGAAGAGCGGGAAGGATGTGGGGAACAAGAAAGATGACGAACAGATGGACAGCTATGATGTTGTTTCAGTGAACTGTTGAAGACATAAGACTTGTTGAAAAGCAGCGATCAATTTCTGTCAATGTGCCATCAAAATAAAACTTTTGTTAACTTATTTCTTTTGAACTTCAATAACCGTACTATGCTCTTATCAGCATTCATGTGGACTATTCATAGATGAATGTTTATTGGATGAATAAATGATTTAGAATGTTAACAATCCTGATTTTGCCTTCTTACTTGATCAAAACAAAAGTGATACATTACTGATAATCTTCATTCAACCTCACATTATTCTCAATTAAGGTGAAGAGACCTTTCCTGTTGGATTAAATTAAAACCCAGGGCAGAAAATCAGTCGTTCAACATCCTAAATCCACACTCAGGTCATATAGTCATAGAGTCATGAAATCATGCAGCACAGAAACATACCCTTTTGTCAAACTCAACAATGACCAACAGGTATGCCAAATGTAACTAGTCCCATTTACCTGTGTTTGGTCCATATCTCCAAATATCTTTAAATGTTGTAACTGTACCTGCCTCTCCCACTTTCTCTGGCAGCTCATTACACAGATGCACCACGCACTGTGTGGAAATGTTGTCCCTCAGGTCCCTTTTAAATATTTCTCCTTACGCCTTGAACCTATTCTCTCTAGTTTTGGATTCCCCTACCCTTGGAATAATATCATGACTATTCACCATATCTATGCCTCTCATGATTTTATAAACTTTCATCAGGTCACCCCTCAGCTCATTGCGTACTGTTCTGGTCACCACACAACCAGAAGAATGTGGATGCTCTGGAGAGGGCACAGAAAAGGTTTAGCAGGATGTTGCCTGGTATGGTGGATTTTACCCATGAAGAAATCTTGAATAGATGGGCTTGTTGTCACTGGAACATAGAAGGTTGAGGGGTGACCTGATAGAAAGTAATAAGATTGTGAATGCCATGAATAGAGTGGAAAGTACCAGGACTTTCTTTCCCTGGATGGAGGGCTCAATTGCTCAGGCGCACAGGTTCAAGGTGGAGAGTGGAAGATTAAAAGAGATGTGTGATGCACGTTTACCATGCA